AAAGGGATCCTTACCTTGCTCTCGAAGCGTATCTAAGCCACAGACCAGAAGGAACCACAGCATTCTACCTCCAGCCTATTGACAATCCACAAGGAAATGTTTGGTATAAAAAGCTACCTTTAAAGCGGGATGGACTTGCCAATATAATGAAGAGATTGTCATCAATAGCTGGGATACAACAGGAGGGAAACTTCACAAACTCCTCTGGAAGAAAAACGGCAATCCAGGGTCTCCGTGGGCACTTTGATCCTCTGACGATTTCAGAACTGACTGGCCATGCAAATCCTATCAGCATCCAGTCATACAGTCACAACTCTTTAGAAACACAAAAGATTATGTGTGATTTGCTGGCATATAATTCCTCTGGCAGTATTCACAGCTCTAAGAGTTCCTCCACAGTAGTAGAAACTTGCAGTCATCTTAGCGACGAGAAGGACGAGCACGTTCTCCCTGCCAACCTGTTGAATAATTCAACGTTAAACAACTGTCAAATTCAGATAACTGTTAACAAAGAATGACTTTGTAAATCATTRTAAAAAGAGTAATTTTATGGATGTAAGTTAAAGGTTTAAAACTATGAATATTTGAAGCTCATTTGCTCAGTACCAAATTATTGTAAACGATTGTAAACCGTTTTTGAAATTCACTCGCTTTTGAAAGCACAACAACATTGCTGCTTTTAAAGATAAATATTTTGAAACGAACATTTTTTTATCGAGAAAATCTTACCTTATGTTAGCTTCCCTCCTTTTTTTCCAGTGATAAACTTGAACTTTCATGAGTTTGATGAAGAACGTTCAAAATGTAAACGAATTTGATTTCAACTTTGCTTGAATAAAATAATTTTTACTCAGCACCATCTTGTTTCGTATTGGCTGACAAGAACAATGAGCTGTCAAAACACGCGCGTAATAGCCAATCAAAACACTTGATTTGAGACGTCAATACTACAAAATATTGTCGTCTCAAAAATATAAGAAACTATTTAGTGAATCGCGATACTCATGTAAATTTCGCCTCCAAGCCTTTTTTAGGAATTGAAATTAGTTAATAGGAGGCTCTCGTCATCATAAGCTGTAAAGCTTCTAGAGGCCTACCTGCCCATCTAAATCTTATACAAATCATGATAAAAAATGTACATGTGATAATAATGGCGAAAAATAAACCAAATCAAATTTTGCAATTTAGGTCACCAAGTACAATAATCTCTCTGTTTTCTTTATCAAGATTCTCGAGTACAGTTTCAAAGGACTCAAAAAATCTACGATCAGTACTCGGTGGCCTATAGCAGCATAAAATATAAAAGCTTTAACTATTTTTTTACAAGATTTCGACACACAAAGCTTTTAACGTATTATCTTGTATCAAATCATGTCGAATCTTATAATTGATATTATTTTTGATATAAGCACAAACCCCTCCTGAATGTCTTTTTTCTATCTTTCCTGATGATATCATAATCATGACCAGAAATCTCGGACATTGAGCCCGCGATCGCAAAGCGTAGTTCCCCAATCGCAGTACTTCGAGATCGCATCAAAAATATAGCGAAAATGTATGGGAGACGACAACATTCATGTAAATAATTTTTTTTTTCTTTGCCAAGTTTGTATTGAAGTATATAATTAATTGTTGTTTCGGACAAACTACATAAAAAATAATATTCAATGGGCTTACTTTGCTTTCCATGCCATGCGGCTTTAATTTTGCCCTTCGAAGATCTCCCTAGCATCCACCATAGATTAGCAAGAAGTATCCATACACTATCTTCACTTGGTTCCAAAGAATCCATGACTCGATCATTTTTAAGTTGCCAAGATCGATCTAAGTAGTGCAATGTTTACTTTGATCGCTGGCGAAGAAATTGGAAGTCTTTAGCATTAGCAAAGTTTGCCTTTTGGGAATCAAAGTTTTTAATTTTTCACAAAAGAAGTTTATAATCCATGTCGAGTGTATCCTGCTTCCGGAAGGCCAAGACGACGCACGAAAATCCCCACTGGTTTGGCGTTTTAAAAGGCATTTTCTGAGCGTGTTTGATACCAAAATGAACCTCTGAAATGAGGCTTAGCTATGCCTCAGAGAAATCTGGGAAGACTTCCAAAGGAAGCCCAAAATCAATGATAAAAGACTGTGCACTTTTACTTCCGGTGAGATGAAATTTGGCTCGACTTTTCGAATTACAAAACAAAATGTCGGTTCAGCTCGATTTTCATGATTTTGAAAAGCTCCAAAGTACTTTGAGGGTTGATTTGAGTTGTAGTCTTACCTATGTAAGACGTGACAACGAAACATAAATGCAAGTGAAATTTCATTCACAATACACATTTTAGATATTATACATTCGACTTCAAAATAATTTGGTTAGGTTTTTACTTTTTCCTTCCTGTTTCCATGTAAAATGACCAATGAAATGTTGTTTAGCTGTTGGTAGTAGCCCTCACGTACCTACGGTGGCCGAGAGGGGTCATCCAAAGTTGAAATGCCAAACTGCCCAAATCGAAAATCGATACACGCTGAAGACAGAGTAAGTCCTTCTCTAGTCTATTATCGCTTCAGACAATTTGACTTGGAGCACTTTCGCTTAAGCCAATTTGACTTGAAGCACTTTCGCTTAAGCC